GCCACCTGAGCAGGCCATCTCAGTCTGCTGCTTCTGCCACTTTAAAGGTCCAAACATTTATTAATCTATTGTGGCATAAGCTTTTGTGAACTAGTGTCCTCTTCCTCAGATGCTTTTGAAGCGTTATCGTCAGCTGACATATCCTAGTTTGGAGCTTACTGTCAGGTGCCAAATTGTGTAGAACAGTGATGGGCATCTAGGAGTTGGTGAACTCCAACTTCCACCAGCAGCAGTCAGTGTGGCTAATGGTCAAGCTAATGGGAGACATAGTTCAGCAACATCTGGAGGATCACAGGCTCCCCACCCCAGTGTAGAAAGTTCTTTATATGGGGTTCCCAATGTGAGAATCCATTCTTAATGGTTTCCCGCCTGCTAAACAGGAATCTGACCAAATGGAAACTGTTTTCCTTAATGCAGTAAGCAACTGCAGTTGAAACCCTAAATGCACTTATTAGGACGTAAGTCCCATTTAACAGAATGAAACTTACCTCCAAGTAGGCATGCATAGGATTGCCCCGAATCTTTGCCAGCTTTTGTATGATAAACTTTAACTATAGCTCACTGAAGCAGCAGCTCAGTCAGTGAAAATTGTTGTGAAAAATCTGTTGGGGATTATTAGGAAAGCAATCAAATTTAAAACTGCCAATATCCTAATAACTTTGTATTAATCTATGGTGCAGCCGCACTTGAGTATTATGTACAGTTCTGGTCACTGCAACTCAAATTTGTAGAAATGAAAAAGGAGCAGAAAGGGGCAAGCAAAATGATCAGAGAGCTGGAACGACTCAATAACATTATTGTACAATGTTTGGGGCCTTTTAGTTCAGAAAAAAGGCAAGTAAAAAGGGAAGCATGATACAGATGTATTAAATTGTGCATGTTGTGGAGAAAGTGGGGAGACAAATGCTTTCTCCTGTTCTCATAATATTAGTATCTAATGTGCTCTTGTCCTGCTTGTGGGCTATAGGCATCTGTCTGGCCAATGGAGAACCAACATTGCCTAGACAGGCTTTTGGTCTGATCCAGCAGGGCCCTGCCTTCTTAAGTTCTTACATTTTGATATGTGAAAAGGTGATGGTTAGAGTACCATAATGGCAATTCCTCGTCTCTTTCATAAATTCCTTCTTTCCCCGCACTCCTGAATCTGCAAAACACAGGAATAGAGCGGGATATAACAAAGTCGTAGATCAAATTTATGAATGAAAAGTATTTTGGAACACACACACACACACACACACACACACACACACACACACTGCAGTCCTTTGTTATGTTTACTCAGAAGTAAGTATGACTGTGCTTACTGCCAGGGAGTTGTGCGCATAGGATTGCATCCTGAATGGTGGAACAGGGAAGGCTAATATAGGGTCTGATCACAATCTTTAAATCGAGTACTGTTGATATTATATGAGATCATAAGAACAGTTCTGGTGGATCAGTGAGGCTCTATTTTAGCCTAGCATTCTTACAAGCATTTGCTGAAATCTTTCAGTTATTTCAAATTGTGACATAATTTGTGGATGGACGACAATAGTTTAAAAGGATGATGTGTCATTGGTGATTAAATGTGACACAAATACAAAAGCCGTTGTTTGCAGGGCATAAAAATGTGTTGATTTTCGCCCCAGAGGTCAGGAAAGGGATACTGACAGAGAGTGCCCTTAGGAAGAAGTGTAATGCAGTACAGCATTGGCACTCTTCTTCATGCTGTTATTTCACCTGACCGTTTGTTGTTTTTTGATGGGTCTTGTTTTAGGAGAGGTTGACTTTTATACCCTGTTCTGTGCCTGTCAGTGTTTACTTTTTTTTAAGTGATTGGGGAATAAGGCGCAGAACTCAAATAACCCTAAACTCGAGAATGTACTCAGAGATACCTTGTTTAATTCTATGTCTCCTGCACTTAGCTTTGGTTGGCAGTTCTTGGGGTTCTAGTTAAAAAACCCCAAAGGGTGACACCCAGTGATGTCCTCCCACTTACGCAACAGGACTTTAGGTTTCTCTTATCCCTCTCTAGCATCCTGCACACAGCCCAGATATGCTCCAGAGGGTCTCTTAATCCTCTAGGGGCTCTGTAACAGGACTGCCAAGGAACGCCTTTGAGTTGGGGCGGGGTGGGGGGAGGAAAAAAGTCAGAGCGGGAACAGTCAGAAGGAGACAGAGAGGAAGTGACGGAAGGGGAAGAGGGAGAGAGCCAGGAGGCGGGAAGGCTCTCCGATGCTGAAGCAGAGCCCCAGCACTGAACAGACGGAGAGCCTGTGCTTGTGCCTTTGGCACAGGAAAGGAGAGGGTTAAAGCGCAGGGATCAGAGACGTCCCATGAAGCTCCCCTGCCTTTTCTGTTGGAGGAGAAGCAGGAGAACACCACTCTCCAAATTTGAACCGGACAATTCGGATGCATGATTGTACTGTGCTGCTTGTACATATGTAAAATAAAGAACTGTAAATATCCCTCTGAGTGTGCAGAGGGTGCTTATTGCGAAGAGCATACACAAACCATCACAGGCTCATACACAACCACAGTAGTGAGGAGATGGTATGAGTAGATTATGTTGGATCTCACCATCTACCAGGGTTGTGATTAGGAGTTACTATTTGGAGTTGGAGTTAAATGTTGGGGTAGGCGGTGAAGTTGTAAGGATTGCTGTCTACTTGAAGTACCTGCTTCCCCTTCTAACACTACCTCACTTCGCCCCCAATAGCTGCAAATACCGTATTTTTCGCTCTACAGGTAGCAAACTATTGCTTTTTATTTAGGAAAGTCTCCCCCCCCCGCTATAACCAACAGCAAATCTGCAACTGAATAGTTGGTTAACTTTTCTTCCCCATGAAAATCAAGAAGCTGTAACATCATTACAGCACTTCTCCAAGTGACATCATTACAGCACTTCTCTAGACATGAATATGAATGCAGGGCAACAGCTGAATTTGCCCCATAATAAATGTCTTGAGAAATTGTGGCAACTTGAGTGGTGGTCTTTCTGAAGTTTGAACCTGGTGTGGTACTAACTCTCTGTGCACATGGAAAGTTAGCAAATATAAACATGGCTAGTCTGCAACTAGCCTTTGATAGAGCACTTTCAAACAAGTGATTTTCCACATAAACACATTCATTCTGAAGGTAGTCTAGGTGCCTGGAGACACTTTATAATATTCTCCCCATAGCACCTGAATCAACTCTGTCTCATAACATACTAATGTTCACATACTTTAAAAAAATTCCTAATAGGGTTAATATAGTTTAGGATAGAAATGTAGTATGCCTTTCTTGACAGCACAGCCTGAAGAAAAACTACATGCAGGTCCCGCTATCAGAACGCAATAAGTTCCCTCTAAATCATTCATTAGGTGAGCTCATTGGCTCATCATTCTTATAATGAGCCAATAATTTCCATTGATTCCTATGGGGAAATTTCTAATGTGTTCCTGGCCACAGAATTTTTGACCCCAAAAAACCTGAAAACACACTGTAACCTTGCTTACCGTACAGATCACCACAGTTTCTCAGCCACCCAGCAAACGGCAAACAAGGAAGTAAAGAATGCTCACTATTCAGATATCTAAATTTGTGCTGTATAGCGAGGTTTGCGTACTAATTCCTTGTGTTCAGATAAATGAATTTTCACATAGCAAGCATTCAGAAAGCGGCACATTGTGTACCTGACTCATCCAACCTGACCCTACGTTTTAGGCAAGACAAGATTGAACTCTGTCTAGTTACCACACTCCTGTTATTTCCTGATTATAAATATGTGCAATGATAGAGACTTTGCCAATGCCTTTAGGGAGCTGTTCTTTTAAAAAAATGGTTTCGGGTCAATACCTATTTCTGAACAGCTGACCTGTGTAATGAGATATAGGTATAGAAAGGACAAAATCAATTTGCAGCCTTTCAGAAGAATCATAAAGCTTGTGTTTGGAAGGTTGCTGAATTGTTGAATTCATCCATTCATTAACAAACTACTGCTCTTTTTTTATTTCCGTATGCAGTATCTAGTTTACTGGAAACTATCTCCATACAGCCACTCCCTGTTTTGCATCCATGTGGTTAACTACTTTCTGTCATAAAATGATTGTTTTGCATTGCAGCTACTTTGTGTAGCATGTTATACGAAGCCTGATCTAGGTACCGTAACTGCCTGGAGATGTCAAGAATTGAATCTAGCCCCTTTTGCATGCAAAGCATATATTCTGCCACTGGTTTATGACCTTTCCCCATGGGGAGGTTACACAATGAGCAACACAACAGAGCACCAGGTACAGGATTATAGACCAAAGCTAAGACATCCATGTAAGTGATTAAAATGAATAATCAGATAACCAAGAAAGCTATTTAACTGATCTGCACTGAAGTAGGTTTCCTATTAAATCTCCTTGATATATTTGCTTATTTGGTCTTTTCAAAATCTTCAGTGAAGGAGATCCCATAGCTTCCCTCAAAACCTTTAACCACTGTTCTCTTACAAATTGTCCACAGCATTTTAAACCAATATATATCAGCTGGTAATTCAAGGCAAGAGCCAATTGCCTACTATTGTTCATTAAACAAAAGTGATTCAGTTGCTACCTTCCATATGCACATTTGAAGGTTAAAGCCCTACATGAATGCATAGGGAAGCTGTGTGCAGTGGGAATTTTATTTGTAGCCTTCATCTATGACCTCCCAAAGTCATAGAAGGCAAACTGCTATTCAGTTTTGGAGTATGAGCTTTGTTCTGCCCTTCATTATTTCCCCCCTCTTTGGCCAAACTGACCCAGTTTCTTCAGGATTGCTTGTACAATTTCTTCCAGCATATGTCCCAAAGTTCTAAATGGGTTTGCAGGACTGTACATTTAAATGATCTATGTAAAGTGTTTGAAGGAGGTTTTGATGCTACCCCACAGGTCTCTTGTATATTAGTCTCATGGCTAAGCAATAGTAGATTTCATTTTAGGAATTTCATCAGATTTTTTTCCTTTTTCCTTTTTAAAGCTCAGTTTCTCTCTTTTCCCTTTCTATCTCAGACTCCATAGGTGGACCATTTCCTGCTTCATCTCACCGATGCCACCACAAGCAAAAGCATTGTCTGCCCATCCCACAGTGTGGAACTCTCTCAGTCAGCCCACTGCTGTTCCACCCCCATACCAAGGGGTCACAGATCATCATGGACACCACACAGAAGGCAGTCAAGCGTCAGGCTAGCTTCTGTAATGCCATCACCTTCAGCAATAGGGCAGTTGTTATCTATGAGCAAGTCAGGCTCAAGGTGAGTTGATGTCTTTCCCATTCACTTCTTTGCGAGAACCAAAATTCATATGACATACCAGGACCTCGCAATGGGAGGGTTTGTATGGAGCACAAAACTATGGCCTAGCATTATGCACATGAGCTTCTGTGAGCCTGAGTAAAGTGTTCCCCTGCCCTCCTATCATCTCCCCACATGGTCAGGAGGATTCAATTTTGCATTTGGTGGTTCCTGGCTTGTGTGCAAACCAGGAACCATAAACTTGTTTGTTAATTTGAAATTAACACACCTAATCTGCAAGTGAGGACAAGCCGGGAAGTGGCAAAAGTGAAATTGTACCCTGGTTTATTCCTCTTAGGGAGCACATGAGTGTTGTACTTTGTATAGTTTCCTCTCTGCTTGTGCAGCTATTGCTAAACCATAGTTTAGCATTACATGCAAACATAGTCAATGTATTTTCAGATGTACTCAAATCAACACTCAACTACTTTCTCTGAAGACCCAGAATACAAGTTGAGAATATACCCCTGGGGTCTCTGTGGCACAGCAGAATCCTCTGGCTTACGCCTTTGCTTTGTGCACAGTTTTCCCTTCCTGTCCTCCAGGGCCCTGTCCTGTGTTGCTTTGCAGGATTAATAGCTGGAGTGCTTTGTGTGCTGCATTGTTTTAACATTTAACTGGCTATCTCATACAGTTAGTGTAAAGTACAGATAAAATGGTACAAAATCAATAATGATGAAGTACCATTTATCTCCTTCCCACAAGCTCCAGCAGTTCTACAATAAAATTGCTATAATGAATAATCCCACAGTTGTTGTTGTTTTTTAAAGTGATTAATGAGGCTACTATTATTGCTTCCTTATTACACATTCGGTACAGTTAGCTTGTTTTGCTGCATTTTGTTGCAACTTTGAGGATGTGATAGTCTGACAAGTGGTGCAGAGGCAAGTGTGGTCTTTACTATAGCAAGCCTGGACAGTGTCTGTGGAGGTCCTGGGGTGGCCAGAAGACAAGACCCCACTCTCCACCTCACTGACGTGGTCCAAAGGAAAGGAAAGCAAAGCAATACATTTGGCACCGCCTTGGCTGTAGCAGTTGACAGAAGCAGGCATGCAAGATGCCATCCAACCGCCTTAGCAAGAGACCTATCCACTTGGCACTCACGTCCTTAAATAAACTGCTTTTAATATCAGTCTTTAGAACTTTTGTAAGGATAAGGGTTGCAAGGATAAGGATAACAGAATCAAAGAATTGTAGAGTTGGAAGGGATCTGAAGGTTCATCTAGCTCAATCCCTGCAACTCCCTGCAATATGCAAGCATCACATCTAAAATAAGGTACCAAGGATAAGGGTGGATACAGATATGTAATTATCTGAAGAAACAACCCCAATCTGCTTAAATACCAGCAAATTACTTGTAGCTTCTACTGGATATCTTTGCTGTTAAACTTTATTTTTGCTTTTGAGTGTTGCTGTTATTGTAGCTATATCCAGAGGAGCCCTAAATCACAAAGATACTAATGCAGTCTTGCTCCTGCCTTCAAAACTTTACTGCTGGATTTTATTTTATTTTACTGTGATTTTATTTCAGTATTGCATTCCCTTGCACACATACAGAATGCATGCAGTTTTTCTTTGTACTGTAGTAACCCCCAATTGTGGAATTTGTTCCCCTGGAAGTGTGGGTGACACCTACATTACTGGGCTTCTGGTAAAGGCTCATCTGTTTACCTGGAAATTTGATGGAAATTCAGTGATGATGATTGCTGCTCTATGATATTGTAATGATTTCTATTTTAAATTCCTGATTATTGTTTTAATGCCTTATTTAATCAGTGTGCTGTTGGTTGTATATTTGAATGTTGTTATTATATCTGACCTATTGTAAACCACTTCATTTTAATTGACGAAAGGTGGTTTCATGAGTAATTCAGAGAATGAATAAATGTTACCATTTCCAGACCTATAGCTTCTACAATATCTCCTGTTTAGTCTCCAGACAGCTTTCTGGCATTGCTTACTTCACAATGGGTTTCAACACCTTAATTTGTGTAAAGGGTATCTAGCTTACTTATTTTAATCCATTCATCTTTGGAATGATCTATCTAACTGAACTGAATCAAATAATAGAGACAAAAGAGTACAGCAGAAATCACGTATTCATGTTTGTTACTGCAATCATGAGAATAGGCTACATGGGTGCCTGTTCAGGGACAGTCAGTGGTTCATTGTAGACAAAAATGCATTATGTGATCTGGTTGCAGATAACATTGAATCTCCAAGTAATTGCCATCACTTATAACCTTGTGGGGTGAGGATCCCCACACAATATATTGCTGTTTAGTAGTGTTTCCTCACCCTTTCCACCACTTGCAAAGCAATCATATAGTTCCTAATGCAACCCCCTTTTCTAAAACCCATTCATATCCAGTACTGCTGGAAGCCTCCAACTCCTCCCTCCTCCACATACGGTAAATTCAAGCACTCGTTCCCATCAGCTCAGTAATGCTACACCACACATTTATTCTCTATGCCTTAGACAACGACATGTTGCTAATGAAAAATTCAAATTGTGCTGATTATGCTTCCGTTCTTCCCTCTCTTCAGATCACAAAGAAGCAGTGCTGTTGGAGTGGGGCTCTTCGGCTTGGATTTACCTCTAAGGACCCTTCTAGGATTAACCCAGAAACCCTGCCCAAGTATGCATGTCCAGACCTTGTTTCTCAGAGTGGATTCTGGGCCAAGGCCCTCCCAGAAGAATTTGCAAATGAGGGAAACATCATTGCGTTCTGGGTGGACAAAAAGGGACGTGTATTTTACCGGGTTAATAACTCTGCCGCCATGTTGTTCTTCAGTGGAGTGAGGACCACTGAACCATTGTGGGCTTTGATTGACGTCTATGGACTCACACGTGGAGTGCAGCTGCTAGGTAGGTGCATTTCTGGAAAATATGACTTTGTCATGGGAGGGTAAGTTGCCTTATTGCTGAAAGCAAAAGTTTCTATTCTCTGGACACATCTTTCCTAGTTTAATCCATTATACCTTATTATTTCCTTATTATTATATGAATAAAGGTTGTGTTCACTACTTTATTATCCAGTCTTGAACAGGATACAAAATGGTAGAAAGTGATTCGGTTCATATGTTTAGTAGTCTCAGCCTTAAAATATCTCCCTCCTTTGTCCTTTAATTAATAAGCCTGAGCAAAGCTGGAGTGCTAAATAAATTCCAGTGGAGTTTCACCCATGTTTTGTCTACATAGCAGAACAAGAATCAGACCGTGTTTGTTGTTAGAAAGTGCTGCTTGATGCCATCCATGTAAACCTTACATTCCTCACTCTTGTTCATAAGGACGTCAAAGACCAAGCAAACAAAATGGGTCTGGAAGTAATAAATCATAATGAAAATAAATATCATTAATAGAAGAATTTTGTTATGACAGACTATTGGTGCACATTCTGAAGCATGGAATGCACTCCATAAAAGTTCCCCATTATCTTATTTAACTCTCTTACATCTGACATGGGTAAATGCATTTAATAGTTTATGCATGGCACAGATTTTACCTGAAAGAAGGATTTGCTGGTTGTTACTTCTATTTAAATGAAATTGCTCTTCTTAAAAATATTAGGTTTAGAAAATAAAACATGTTTCCTGGGCTCTAGGAGAATCCTTAGTAGATCATTTTATTACACAATAAAAGTACAGCCATGGAAAATCATTTTATTGTGCTTTAAAAGCTCTGTTGTGAGAGTTCCTCATGAGCTGAGAGTTCCTGAGCACTTGTAAGGCAAAGCTCCAGAATAAATGGAAGTTCAGCTGTGAGGTTCAACTAAAATTCAAGACCAGTTAACACAACAATCCTCTTTACACTATGAATTGACATACTTTGCGATTACATGAATTGACATACTTAGCAGCTTTTGCATAGGGATAGTGTATGCATAGTGTATGACAGATATCTGTGATATTACTGATGCTTCATGTAACATTTAAGATTTATTGAAATCTTAAGTGAGTTGAAGTTAGTGTAACTGTTCATTAGAGAAGGTCACATTGTTGTATCTTTAATGTATACAAAATGATGGTATGAGTGGCTTATTTTCTGATAGAAAGATCAGAATATTGCTGATAAAATAATATTTGTGTTATAGTGTAAACAATGTGTCTAGCATTATACGTGAATCGTTCTGGGATTTTTACCCATTTTAGCAAAGCAGGGAAGAAGAGGGCTAATGCACGTCATTGAACCTTGAGTTATGTGCAATATTCTCATAGCTAACCTTGGCATTAAAATGCACTTTTAATGCCTAAAATAAGACTCGTAGCAGAAATAATTTTGAAATCAGTCCCTGGGTTTGAAAGTGGATGGAAGGAGTGAATTGTTATATTATTTTAAGGAATGATATTTGAGAGGGAAACATATGGAATTCTCAACCTTGTTAGTTTGCTAGCTATGCTAACATCTAGTGGACTCATTTGCTCTCCATCCGTTTATAGATGTTAAAGTTCCATCAACCTTCCCTACACCCATAATTCCCTTTGAATTCAAAATGTCTCACAGCAAGTTACCTACTTTCTTTATCTTCCTTTCCTTCACAAAGAGTTAAACCAGGCATCCCCAAACTCGGCCCTCCAGATGTTTTGGGACTACAGTTCCCATCATCCCTGACCACTAGTCCTGTTAGCTAGGGGCGATGGGAGTTGTAGTCCCAAAACATCTGGAGGGCTGAGTTTGGGGATGCCTGAGTTAAACTTTTCACTCTGCTACATTACGAGAGCTAAGTGACAGAAGTGTCCTGCAGATATCTTGTCTCTGCCAATTAGCTAAATGCAGTTAGTACAAAGCAGCGTAACCAGTACAGCGAGGCACCTGCCACCAGGATTCAGATTCCCCTGCTGCTTAGAATGAGTTTATGCAATTGACATTAATGCTCAGACATTTTATTTATAGCATGTTCCAATTGCCTTTGGCAGGCTTAATCTTGGCAATTGTCTTGAAGCCTCTTAATCTTGTTTCTTACGCATCTCCATTCTGTATTATGTGGTGTCAAAGCTCAGGTGCTTGTTGACATATAATTCTTCATCAGTTCTACACTCACTTTGGGACTGCACTCCTGAACCCCCACCTACCTGGGAGTAAGTGCTGTTGAACTCAGTAGGACTTACCTCTGAGTAGACATGCATACAATTGTGGTATTCCTCACTTTTCCTTGTGAATTTTAATCAAAGGCATTGGATGGGGAAACTACAAAAATTAGAGGGAGTGGAGGTTCAGGAGTTGTGTTCTGAGAACTGTTGGTTGTTTTCTTCTAAAAATAAGCTGAAATAACTACTGAGATATAAATCTAAAACCTGTTCTACACATACTCGTTTGTAATGATTGACCTGCTGTTTTTCCAATACCCCAAAGGATTTTTTAAAAATAAAAGAAATCAAGATAATGGAGTCGGACATCAACTAGAAAACATTGGCTACTAAAAACAGATTAAATAGGATTACTTTCCTAGTACAGAGAAGTCAACATTGTGAAATCAAATATACAGATGCCATTGAAAATTATGAGAATGGGTATTTTATTACATTGTTTAGAGGAAAAGGTACATCATCTTAATTGATGGTTATGTAATGTATTTTATTTTGGATGTCATTGTTCCCATTATGATTTCTTAAACCAAGAGCAAAAGTAAACAAAAGGGTTGAAATGCAAATATTCTATTATGGGAATTAATCTTTGCAATCTCCCTTAATACTTTTCAAATGATTAAGCAGAGTAGTTTGACCTCAGGAGGTCACTTTTACCAGCCAAACATGCACTTCTCTGCATTTCTTATATATATATTGAAAGAAACAAACCTGGAAATCACAGTCATGTGAGCAATTTTCTGTTTCAAGAATTTGATTATTGGTTAGATCAGCATATGCATAGCTCAGCTTTTTTGTGCCCATTTTTGAGAGATGTGGATTCATTGGACAGCGTTGCCTGAGGGACTGAATCAACTAGCTTTGCAGGAGGCGGGATAGTGATGCCCCCTTCCAATTACAACATGGCTCCTCCTTTCCTATAATTGTCTTGTGCTGTAGCCATTATACTTGATGTGCTCATTTTCTTTTCTCACCCATGCCCTTTTGTACCATGCCTAATGAGTTGTAACCCTGAATTGTAAACTGTGAACATTTCTGTAAAAAAGAATATAGAAAAGTAAAAACATACGGAACCTAGAAATGAATGTTGCCTGGTGCAGTGTGAAGTATTCCTGTTCAAGGCTGCCAACCAGCCAGCCATGAAAGACATTCCAGAATACTCTGTGCCCTCTTTTTCACCTGTTTACCCTCCCTACCCCAACAATCAGCCAGCATTTCATGACTACTACTGAGCATGCCTGAGCTTTCTCAGACCCGCCCTCCCATCTCCTCTTCCCTCCTAAAGATTTTTTTTTTGCACTTCTGCAAATCTTGGAGTCAATAGCATCCAAATCTTGGAGTCTACATCCCTCTTGTACTAGGATGTTACAGCTCAGGGAAGTGGCTGTCTGGATCTCCCTTGACAATAAATTCCAGAATTCCAGTGCTATTAAGAAGAACTAAGCATACTTCCTTCTTTCTGCATCTTATTAAGTGGCGGTATACATAATAGAGCCTTTCCATTGGCTGCAGTGTCCATGTAGATTCATGCAGATTCATATCCAGGTACCAAACCACAGAGGGCTTAAAATGCAAGATCCAACACCTTGAATTGGGTCAGGAAACATTTTGGGATCTCGATATAATACTAATATAAGGTGACGTGACTCCTGTCAGTTGACACATTTTGTGCTAGTAGTGGTTTCCAAATATTTTTTAAGGGTAGCTCTAGGCAGAATGAATTATAGAAGGCACCAAGGTATTTGGAACTGCATCAACATCAGCCTTATAATGTGCTGAGGGTCTTCTCTTACTTCCCAGGCACATCCTGCCAAGGTCAGGATCACTCTGTAAATTGGAAGCCCCTCCTTCCCAGGAAGTGACTTATAAGTTGTCTCTGCATCCTGTTAACAAGGAAGAAGCATCCCAGTAGTGAAAAATGCCTCCCAACTACCTCCTTCACACCCACAGATATATAGATATAGATATATAGGCCAATTGGAGAGAGTGTTTTCAGGGAAGCTGCAACTGTGACAGAGAAGATTTTAAAATATTAAAATATTATTTTCAAAAGAACTAAATGTATGTTTTGGTCCAAAGGCATTTAATGGAATGTAGAGGTACAGAAACTGTTTGGACTATAGCCTGCCAGTTGTTTATAGTAGAGTGATTAAGAACACCATTGCTACTGAACCTGCCATGATCATCCTATGCTTAGAGCCCTTGGAGATAAACATGGCAAGTTACGCCTCTCACTGCACTTTTAAACATATCGCTGCAACAATACCCAGATGGGAATAGCTGCACCAAATTCCAAGGCAGGCAAAGCTGGGTCAAATCCACTCCAGCCAGCTTGCCCACCAGATATGGTCTTATTGCATACAGACTTCATGTTAAATAACAGTGCCGCCAGACTGGGAAACATTTCAACGGAGCTACCAAACATCAGAGAGATGGAGAGATAGAAGGGGGTACAGCATGCATGCAGTGTCCCTACTCCATCGATGTCTCATCCGCCTCCAATGCTATAATTCCTCCTGCCTGTTACCACTGATATTGAGGCACATATAGTGATCTCTCCTCTGCTATAATCACCCAGGCAAACACTGGACCGATATTCCACTCACCCAGGCACTCTCAGCACCACTATGCACCCACCATTCATACATACATCATATATATTATGCATCCACTTTAACCTATTACCAGTTTATATTCATCCAATAGATACCTATATAAACTGGACCATTGCTGCCATCTAACAACTTCCGGCACCAACCTAATCTAAATGATAACCGTCAGCAC